GTATTCCTTGACGCTTCCCCACAGGAGATCGACAACCTGAGGCTGTTTCTCATCTGTTTTGAGATTGCCACAGGATTTAAAGTCAATATGGATAAATCAAAGATGATGGGGGTGGGTCTCACGAGTCAAGAAATCAGAGCCCTTATTCGTTCTTGGGACTGCAAAGTCGAGGACCTCCCCACCACCTACTTGGGTATACCTTTGGGCTTGGGGAAGCTCAAAAAAAGACAATGGGCTCAAATTATAGACAAAGTGGATAGGCGCTTGGCCTGCTGGAAAGGGAGGTTTCTTTCCCTGGTAGGCCGCTCTACGCTGGTCAAAGCCACTCTGGCCAATGCCCTGATCTACTTAATGTCCATTTTCTATATGTCAGTCTCGGTCGCTAACAGGCTGGACCAGCTCATGAGAAACTTTCTTTGGTTTGGCCAAGCGGGAAAAACCAGACACCGCCTAATCTCTTGGGACACAGTCCGACTACCCAAATCCCAAGGAGGGCTAGGTATCAGGAATCTTAGAAAACATAACCTGGCTCTGCTAGGGAAATGGTGGTGGAGATTGGCTACTCAACCAAACTCCCTCTAGGCATAGGTCATTCGCAACAAATGCAGGATCCCCGCTCATAAGTGAGTGCCTAACAGAACCTCCCGCAGTAGGGCCTCTGGTGCCTAGAAGTCCTTTGCATCCTCTCTTGCTCCTTTCAACCAAGCCATCCATTTCCACCCTAAAGAAGGTTCTAGAGTGCACTTTTGGTCTGACCTGTGGATTGGACATGTCCCTCTTAGGGATCTTTTCCCCTCTCTCTTTCACCTGTCCGCCAACAAAGATTCAACCATCGTTGAAGAGATGGTCTTATTAGGTGGCAGAAGGTCTTGGAATCCCTCTTTCAGAAGGAACTTAACCAAAGAAGAGACTACAATCTTCATCTCTCTGTCCGCTGCCTTACACCCCATCTTCTTATCTCCCTCAGGGACCGACTCACTAATATGGACTCTCTCTCCCTCAGGTATCTTCTCAGTAGCCTCCTTCTACAACAAAGTCATTCAACCCCCTACTTACCCACTGAACCCCACTTTCGTTCAATCCAAAGTCTGGTCAACCATAGCTCCTCCAAAAGTCCAAATCTTCAATTGGATAGCTTGCTGCCAACGGGCTCTCACAGTCGATCACCTTCAAAGAAGAGGACTTTCACTTCCAAACAGATGCAGTTTGTGCCTACACGAGGAAGAGACTAACCCTCACCTTTTCCTACATTGCAGCCTGGTTTTTGAACTCTGGAGCTGTATTCTTCAGCTGTTTCAAATTTTCTTCCACCCTCGGTCAAGGCTCTCATTTCCTCCTATCCCAGCTACCATTGGCCTAAGGCTGGCAGAACTTTGTGGGAGTCAACAATCGCTGCAACCATTTGGGTTATTTGGATAGAGAGGAATGAGAGGGTTTTCCAAGGCTACAAAAGAGAAGTTCCAGTCCTATTTTAGAAGGTTACGTCATTAGTAACCTTTCGGGCTTCATCTCACAAGGATTTTGTAGGGATCCCTTCTAACACCTTTCTTAGTCAATGGGACAATATTATGAACCTCCAACCTCACAAGAAATAAATACCTCACAACTGGGTGGCCCCTCCAGTCAACGCCATCAAACTCAACTTTGATGGTTGTTCACTGGGAAGCCCAGGGCCATCAGGGGCAAGAGGGGTATTTCGTGATCACAATAGCAATATTCTCCTCACCTACTCGGAAAATGTGGGACATGGAGATTCCCAGTTTGTTGAAACATTGGCTCTCCTGCTGGGTCTTAAAAGATTCAACCCCTCTCGAGGCCAACTCTTGGTGGTGGAAGGAGACGCCCAAAGCATCATCTCTTGGGCAGCAAGCACCTCCCTTTCTCCTTGGTGCCTCTCCATGATTTTTGATGAAATCAACCATATATGCAAGGATATAAACGTCTTATGGAGGCATACTTGGCGGACATCAAACGAGCTCGCTAATCTTCTTGCTAAAGACGGAGCACGGGCATTGTGGAAGACCCCGACCGGTCCATCTCCTTTTTTGCTCTGGACCACTGAGGCTTCCCAGGACTATAGTTACCTTTCCTTTTTTATTATACTAGGGTGTCTGTTATAAACCCTTTTTGCTAAACTCTAATTTTTGCAATCTGGCAAGATAGGGCCGGTTATTTTTGTATAGGGTCTTCGGACCTATTTTTTTGACCGAGGTACCCGCCTTGTGGGTACTTGAGGTCCCCTCTTTCCCCCTTCACTTGTACTCTCTCTCTCTTACAGAAATACAAAGTTAACTTTATCAAAAAAACAACAAAAAACAAAACATAAAACAAAAAAACAAAAAACAAAAAAAAATTTATAGTTAGTTAGGTTGCAATAATTTTGGAGGAGTAAAGAGAATTAATAAATGTTTTCTGTGATACTAATTTCACTTTATATGGGAAATTATTTTTTTAATCTTATAATATGGAAGTATTTTCTAATATTTTTTTAATTATTTTGATGTAATATTATAATATTATATTATAATTAATAATTATACAAACATCCAGACAAGAAAACAACGTCTCAATATTCACCTATTTTTACAAAGTAATGATAGTACATGATTCACCACTCCTAATTTCTTTTAGAAACTAAAAGATCACTATTTTTAGAGATTTAAAGTGATTTTTCGAAAAAAAATTGGACAAAAATTGCCAATTCTTCAAAACGATCGACTGATCCGACACAGGTATGGGTGTGACCGATTCGGGTCACTGATCTGCTTTTTTAAACACTGGTATATCTCCTTGCTTCCTAAGTGCTTTAATCAAATTTTATAAATTTAGATTACATGTAATCTTTTTACACATCAGTGCAATTTTTTTTAAACAAAAAAAAAAATCCTTTATAGCTTTTTTTCTTTTATGCTGTTAAATGTCCTTTATAATATTTATTATCTAGTTCAGTTCAATTTCCACTTGTTCTGTTATCATAACTAATCAACAAGGATACTTGCAACACCCATGTCACTAGTAATGGTCCATTACTAGCAGTAAATATTCTCAAATTAGACTTGACACTAAAACTTAAAATAATTTTAAGATTGAATTGAGTACGAATCCTGTAATTTCTCTTTATTTCTTATAAATATAACTGGGCGAATGGTTTGAAACCTGTATGTTGATAATCCTTTTATTAGAAACGATTATTGGGATTGAAAATATATTGGATAGAAAATGGAAAAGCCTTAGTTAGTTAACACAGAAATGTGATCCTTCAATATTCAAAATTGAAATTAGTAAAAATTCTACTTCAAAAACTAAAAATAGAGGCTTGTTTGTCTTCTTCCTTCTTTTTTTATCAAGGTTTAGAAACACAGGCTTCTTGAGTACAAAACAAACTAGTTTAAGTGAAACTTGCCCATAACCCCACTATAAGAGTTGTTCTTCTGATTTAAAATTATATAACGCACTCATACAAGAACGCACACACAACACGCACAAATCAAGTTATCTATAGCTTTCCCCATTGCTGCAGAATTTTAGGATATTTTTGCAAATTTTATGAGGTATTGAGGATTTCTCAAGACTCACCAAGTCTGTGTCCTGAGTCCCAATTTGACTCCCTATAGACCCAACTATGTCCCCATGAGTTCGAGTTTTCATACCATAGTTACACATGAACTTCTTTCATGTTTGTTAGAGGGATAGATGATGATATGATGAAACTGGAAGCATGCAGCGCTACTGCGATCTGCAATTCAAGATGAGGTAATGAAGCACAGAACTTTGACTTAAATCATTCAGGGAAGACATCATGTCACAGGCTCCACAAAGACCAGGGATGGATTGTGTTAAAGCATCTCAGGAACTTTCAATGCAGGTCATCCAGAAAAAGTAACCTAGACCATGACCACATGCAGCACATGCTCTCAGCAAAATGTTGATGACCAACATTGAGTTTTGATTATGTATCCCAAAAAAAAACAAAAAGACATTTTTATCATAAAAAACCTATGAAGCACTGATCGGGTGTCATCAAGACCACAACCTTCCTAAGTGTTGTGCAAGGCCACTAGAACTACTGATAGGGTGTCATCGAGACAAGAGCCTTCCTAAATGTTATGCGAGACCACTAGTTGTCAGATATGTCACACAGACAAAACCAAATGAAGCATTGTTGGAAATAGGATGTTGACAAGGGACTTCAAGGAGCTGAGACACTTTGAGAGTCATTTTCTAATTGTTATCATAATGAGGTCGCTTAAAGAAGGATTCCACAGATCCACAGAGATTATGAGAAATTTTTGCAAAAAGATGCGGATTCTTGATCAAATATTTGACTTTTGCGTGGCATAAATGTCCCAACAAGGCAAACATAATGGCAAACATGTACAAGATGAGCACAAATGGGAATGGGTTGGGACTGTGAGATCTCCAGCTGCCTTAGTTTTTTCTCTCCCTATGGAAAAATCACCTTCAGTATCGTTTTTCCCCGAAATAAATTTATCACCAATAAAAATAAAATAGTTTTCCGTCCTTCTCTTACGACATTTCAAGAATAGCATTTCATTAAGCTTGAGTACATCATAAGGGGAAATAAGGAGTCGCTTGTAATATCAATAGAATGCTCCAAAACAAAATCCTCATCACTGCTCCAAAGTTGCACGCCTTGAAACTGAATGTGAGTGATAACAGTTTAGAGATGAGATACACTGTTAACCATCACCAATTAATACAATGCCACCAGTTAAACGCAACAAATTACTCAGTAAGTCTATGGCCCTCAAATAAAAGAACACAATGATTTGCTTGTCATTCGGCTTAGTAATAATAGGATTAATTAAATTTCATTGCAACAAGGCAAAAATGTGCACGAAATTTTAGCTCCAAAACAAAAACCCACATATTTTATGGCACCCATGTAGAACTTGGGCAAGAACCAATCACTAACATTCCTAAAACAGAAATTCAAGGTCCTTCCAAATATCAGAACTGATTGAACAAAGCTAACTTGCCTGGTTCATCTCAGCAACAAGCTGATTCAGAATTTTCAAACCAATGTAATAGTGATCCGATGTAGCCTGATAACAGAAACACAAAGCAAGAGATGATAAGGCAGATCATAGGATGTACACAATCATGCTTCTAACATAAAATGGATATAAACTAATGGAGTCAACAAGTGAATAAGACATTTTACAAGTGTAAGACTATTTCGAGAGAAAGGACAACTGTCGAATTATGTATCATAATGATGTACAAAAAAGCCCCTTTTTGGCAACGCACAAGGAATGAAATCTCAATTGAGAAGGAAGTAGTAGTAACTACTCATAATTTACAGAGAGAGATTCATTTCGTTGTTATCAAAGGTACCTAAGTTCAGTTAGCTGCATCAATGAGTTACCTATGTTATTCAAGGGGTTACTAATCTAATTTCCATGTACTTTGTAACAATGATCAATAAGGCAGCGGCGGGCACCCAAATACCTGGGAGGCCCTAATATGCCTTTCTTTCTTGTATATGTGTGTGTGTGTGGGGTGGGGGGGGGTTTCTATATATACGTATGTGTTTGTGTGTGTGTGTATTTATATATAGTGTGTGTCTGTGCGAGGCCTCGCATCAAACACTAAATGGCCGTCTTCCTTTTTTTATCTAATATGTAAAGTGAAAAAGAGAGAGATATGGGTGTGTGTTAGAGAGAGGTATCACATTCAACCCTTGAAGGACATACTTATTTTTCTTCATATATGTAAAGAGAGAGAGAGAGAGAAACAGAGACTATGAGTCAGTGCGAGAAAGAGAGAGATAGGCCTTGCATCAAACACTTGGATGTCATCTTCTTCTTTTTCTTCTTCTTTTATGCAGAAAGAGAACATATGGGTCCATGTATTTGTTTGTAAATGTCTGTGTGTGTGAGAGAGAGAGAGAGACCTCACATCGAACACTTGGAAGCCATCTTCCTTTTCTTCTTCTTATTTATAGAGAGAGCACATGGGCTTGTAAGTGCGCACGAGAGAGAGAGAGAGAGAGAGAGAGAGAGAGAGAGAGAGAGAGAGAGAGACGACGTACTATGTNAGTACGACGTA